AGTGGGGCTCAGTGGGCTCGTGCTGGTACTGAGTGCTGGTTCCAGGTAGACTCTAGGTGCCCCCTAGTGGGTATCTCTGATATCCTGCTAACTACAACAATATGTGATGAAAAACTAATCAGTCAATTTAAGCAAGAAATGGAACATTTTACTTGAACCAAATTTGATGATACAACTCAAGAAGAGCATCTCAGAAAGCTCTGAACTCTTCCACCAGTTAGAAGTGAAGACAGTTACGTAAGCTTTTTGAGACAGAGAGCTGTACATCAAATGACATATTATTAACAGTTTCTATAATCCACATCTGAGCACTGTGTGACCCCTTATCAAGAAGGAATGTTATCTTTAAGGCGCTGTCTTAGGAGAATGTGCTATTTATGATTGAGTGGAAATTTCTGCCGATGAGGAAGCCTTGGTCAATAATACAGATACACAATGCACAGTGCAGGGATAGGAGGCCAAAGGGTGGAGAAGATGTTTTGTTTAAATTTTTCTTGTCTAGCCATAAAATATGAACTTTATTTCACAGTTGGTTGGCTCAAGAGTTAATCTGCCAGGATTAGAAGGTATAGATGTTACTCTTATACTGTAAAGCATTGATCAGATTACCTTAAAATGATGTATCAAAAGTCATGGGAAAAGAGCAGTTGTGAGTATGGAAGCCCATGGTTTATATCCCAGAGCTGTTTTATACTAAATATGGGAATGTTTCCACTTTTGCCTATAAAATGGGGCTAATGTGGTCTATCTAGCCTGTCTGCCTCACATGGTTAAGGGTACTAAGCAAAACAACAGTTTTTAACTTAGAATTCTATACAAAAATGCTGCATTTCTACACTAGAAATTGACACATTGCCAACTGACTATACGTCAATTAAAAAAAAAAAGATGCACTTCTGTATTGTGTACCATGATATATACCATTCCCTGAACAAGTTGTGGGACTCTCCTTATTTCTGGAAAAAGCTAGCCCTATGACCTAGCCTGTAGATTAGTGTGTGCTAATGTGGGTCCATGACAGTCAACATAAATGCCTGGTATGTTCTAGGCGTAGGGAGAACAAACAACCTAGTTTCAGGAAGCAGGAGTAGGTGCAGTGAGCCATGGGGCAGATTTAAAGAGACTGACTTTAGAAGACAGAGTTTTTCCCCTGCTGTAAAGCCTCCAGCCCCTTGCCTGACCCAGCTGGTGCTCAGACCCTAGGATCCTAGGGGCTGTTCTTGACTGGCCTTTTTTATGCTTTGAGATATCATTCGTTGTCATTCTTGGGCCAAGTTTTTTCATCAAACCCTTTTTTTTCACTGCCTATCTAGAGAATGGCTGTCTGAAAGCAAAATGCCACTTGGATCCCAAGTTCGTTTCCACAACCACCAGAATAAGCTGAATCAGGAAATAAACACCGACTTCTACATTCCTAAGAAATCATTCCCAGCAGGTCAGAACCGTTTAGTGTATCCTAAGCAGCATTTTAAAAGTGAAAACACATCTATGCACCGCAAGTAGTAAAGTATGAGAGATATTTCAATTACAAATAAGGACTGAAACAGGAGTTTTTTAAAAAAAATGTTTACTGAGGCTCATGGTCCAGAGATATGAATACAAAACAACCTCAAAGATGCTCCCTGGAGGTTTAAGTCCAGCTGATAGGTGGAGGTAAATGCACAAAAGAGGATCAGCAGAATGGCCAGTATCCAGGGTCCGTGTCTATGCGGGACAGTCACATCCTCCAGACCTCAGAGCCAGGTCGAGTGAGAACAATGAACAACCTAAAAGTTGAGGATTATGTTTTATCTGGTGGACTTTCTGAGGACTCAAGCCCAGGAGGCAGCCTCGCAGATAGCTCTGAGGGACTGCTCAGAAGAGAGAAGGGAGGAACCAAAATACAGTTTTGCAACAAAAGCCAGGTAGTCAACCAGATAGCTGGAACACCAAAAGATTTCTGTTAAAGAAAACCAGACATCTCAAGTCAATGAATTTAACGCTTCCTCTATGCATGGGAATAAGCAAGAATCTGGGCTCATTGAAATCATCCCTTTGAAATGCACCTCAGCTGCCTAGGGAAAGTACCTGTGCTTTTCATCCTGAGTCTCCTAGGGAGCACCCTTGCGGGTGCTGCAGGGGCTAAGGGCTTGGCAGCCGGCAGCCCATTTGTCTCCATCCTGAGTTCCCTCAAAGCTCACCGTGGGCAAGGGGCGGTAGTGGCTGTTGGCCGCAGCATCCTTTGTTGACATGACAGGCAACATTTTTCATTCACAGCTGCAAAAGACCTCGAGCACCAGGAACCCACTAGGTGCCACCTAGAAAGGCGCCGTCGCACCTGCGCCAAGCCGGGCTACTCCAGGAGGGTGCTCTGCCCATACTTGAGGGTCGGTGGGCCTGTGGCCCAAAGTCTGCGGCATCGGCGCCAGGTCCTCTGCGGAGCTTGCGGCCTCCCAGGGCTTGGGCCTCCGCAGGAGTCGGGATGCCGTGGGTTCGCCGAGGGTCGCCGTGATGTGGCGCTTCTCCAGGCCCGGGAGCTCCTCGCCCTGCTGGACCAGCTGCAGGAGCTGCGTCAGGGTCACCGAGGCCGGGGCTGACTCCGCCGGCGCGGGAGCATGGCCCGACCGGCTGGGACTGCAAGGCGGCTCCATGACGGGCGCGGAGCCTGGGCGCTTCCGGGAAGGATGGGTGCAACCACCCTGGGAGGAGAGGAAGGGGTGCAGACCATACCAAGCGGCCCAGAGAGCGGGGAGCGCTGCAGAACCACGGCCGGCTCCGCGCCGACGCGCTTCACCCACACACGCACGGCTTAGCCCGCCCCAGAGCCCCCAGTGTGGGATGCGTTAGAAGAACCATGAAGGCGTGCACAGAATGCAAATGCGTGCCGACTCGCCGGTGCAGGCAAAAAGATTCGCGTTTGCACACACACACACACAACGCACATACCTGCTTTCTGGCTCCGCAGCACCTGACAGAAAATAACGGAGGAGAGGTCTCCAGTGACCGGAGGAGAACTGGGAATCAGTGACACCACAGCAGAGCTTCTCACTCCCCATGTCCTGCCATCAAGACAATACCTGGTGTTCCCAGAGGGGAGGGGAAAAGATGCAGGCAGGCCAGGCGGGCTAAGTCCTTCAAGCGGCTCGCGAAGTCAGGGCCAATACAGCTCAGGTTTCTAAGTTTAACAAAAGCAAGCCTAACCTGGCACACACGACTTTAATCAAATAAGCAAAGCTCAGTTACTATTAACAGAACAAACTAGCATCATGTGTGATAAAAGGATTTTTCACGTAGGGACGTGAGATGGAAGGACGTTATTGTGGCTTATATGAGTTAATCTGAATTGTATACTAACTAAAACGGCCTACCAAAATACACTGTACATCTGCTTTCATTATTAAAGAAAAGGGCACATCGACCAGAAGTAAAGAATTTTCATGTTAAAAATAAAGATTAAATGTCCCTCTTCCTGGGTCACTAACACTAGTGCTCCTTTGAGGATGAGTCCCATCCCAGGTGCCAAGGCCATACTGACTCGCTACGTTCATGCTGGTCTGGGCTTTTTTCTTTTTTTTCCCCCCAAACCTTGAAGAAATGTAACCCTGACTTGTTTAATGTTCTTTGTTCTGACAAGATACAAAACTGGACTGAAAACCCTGCTTATCTAGAGTAACTTCTCAGAGTAATCTGGGAAGTGGGCTTCTGGGCTAGTCCTCAGTTTGGCTCAGATAAAACTCTTTTCTATTCCTATTATTGTTTATTGATTACTTTCTATGACATATGTCTCCTGGAGTGAGGCACTGAGGGGGATACCACAACTCTTCCATAGTGTTCCTGCCCAAAATGTTCACTCTGAATCTAATCTTGAGCAAATGAGCAGACAAATCAAAGTGAGAGAGCATTCTGCAAAGTGACTGGCGTGCAGGCTTTATAGATGTCGATGTCACGAAAGACAAAGAACGAAAGAAAAAGACAAGACGGCAGAACTATGTCAGACTAAAGGAGGTGTGAAAAGTGCAAAGTGTGATCCTGGTTTGGATCCAAAATGAGGGGGAAATTTGAAGATGGTCTGTGTATTAGATGACAGTGTTATATCAGTGTCAAATTAAGTACAGGAATTGTGTCTTGGTTATGTGGGAGAATGACCTTTTTCATAGGAGATACATGCTGAAGCATTTATGGGTGAAATGTCATAATAAGAAAGAGAGAAAAAGAGAAAGCAAATGTGGCAAGATTGCTAAGAACTGGTGAATCTAAATGGTTTGTCAAAATACAAAGTTGGAAGGGGTGAGCTTGAGAAGCTAGTGTGGAAGAAACTGACCAAAGTGTTAGTTGAGAAAGAATTTGACTGGCCTTTGTCCCTAGTTCCTGGAGGGGAGACTAAATCCTTGGAATTTCCCAAGTATTAGAAGTAACATTCATGGTAGGCCCAAGTATTAGAAGTAACATTCATAGTTTATGCCAAGGAGGTGACTCATGGTGGCCCCTAAATGGTTTCACGACTTGGGCTGGCCAACCATGTGATTAAAGAGCTGGGGCTTTGAGCCCAAGGTTGGTAGGGGAGGCAGTCCAAGGAGGGGGCCTGGAGATTGAGTTCAGTCTCCAGCCAATGATTTAATCAGCCATGCATATGTAAGGAAGCCCCTATAAAAACTCTGGACACAAAGCTCAGTGGAGCGTCCTGGTTGAACTCATCAATGTGTTGGGAGATTCCACAAGGAAAGGCTTCTGTGCCATCTTCCAGTTGCACCAGGAGCCAGCACAGTAGCCCAGCATGCAGGACCCTCTCAGACCTTGCCCTAGGCGTCTCTTCATTTGGCTGCTCCTCCTGATTTATATCCTCTGTAATAAAACTATAATCATAAGAACAGTGATTTTCTGAGTTCTATGTTCTGTGAGTTGTTCTGGCAAGTTATTGAACTTGAAAGGGGTCATGGGATCCCCTAAATTTGTACTCAGTGAGTCAGAATTGCCTGTGGCCTGGGGCCCTTCTGAATTTGCAGCCAGTGTCTGAACTAAGAGCACTCCTGTGGGGACTGTGCTCTTGAACCTGTGGGATCTGTGCTAACCAGCCAGTTAGTGTTTGAGCTGAAGGGCAGCACCCCCGCTGGCGTTTGTAACACGGAACTGGATGAAGAACTCACCCTTCTCTCTGTGGCCTGCGTCAGTTTCTGGGCGACCTCCTGCACTTCCTGCCCTAAGGATTTCCTCCTAAACCACCAGATTCTCTTTCTTCCTTGGATGTCCTTGGCCCCAGTTCCACTCCCCACAACCTAGCTGGTGGGCTCTGGGTTCCTGCTCCACCACTGCCTTCTTTCCTACCAGAAAACATCTTTATGGAATTAAAGCCAACCTCGGGCATCCTCCCCCACTCAGTTAGGACCACATTGTCTCAGAATTAGGTAAAGTGATGTGTATGCGTTTGGGAAGTGGGGAGTTGTCTCAGCATCATAATTTTTCTTCTCTCCAATTCTTTTATTTCCTCCTCAGCACAACTCCGGAAGACGGACAGGATGAGTCTGAGAATTAGGGGTTGTCAGGAGGGATCTCTGGCACCACTGAACCCAACCCCCTCATATACAGGGAGGTAAACTGAGCCAGTAAGAAGGAGTAACAGGGCTGGGGTTGGAACGTGAGCCCGCTGACTCTTAGCCCAGGCTGCCTCCCCTTGACTGGGCACAGAGGCCCCTGCCCTGTGGGCAGCCATCCTGAGCCTGTGCCCTCCCATGGACGTGCACACAGAAGGAAAGGAGGCGAAAGAAGGAAAAGTGAGTAAACCCACTGGCGGGGACAGAGATACCTCCCATCCAGGCACATCCACAGCCTTTCCCTGCATCAGCTGGGACCCTGGAGGCCAAGAAGTCATTTCTGCAGGGTGTGGCAAGGCCAAATTCAACCTCCAAACACCACTGAGCTCGTTTATAACTCATTAGACATCTTTCACCCATGATTTTCAACAGCACATCTCAACAGGAAATGCTCTTCAGGGAGGGATAAATTAGGGGTTAGGGAATTAACAGACACACATTACTATGTATAAAACAGATAAACAACAAGGACCTACTGTATAGCACAGGGAACTATACTCAATTTCTTGTAACAGCCTATAATAGAAAAGAATCTGAAAAGAAAAAATATATATGTATGTACATGTATAACTGAATCACTTTTGGAGGGAGAGTGTAGCTCAGTGGTACAGTGTGTGCTTAGCATGCACGAAGTCCTAGGTTCAATCCCCAGCACCTCCACTTTAAAATAATAAATTTAAAAATAATAAATAAAAATAACTGAATCATGTTGCTGTACACCTGAAACTAACATTGTAAATCAACTACACTTTAATTTAAAAAATTAAAAACAGGAAATGCCCTTCCCTATACTTCATTTATTGGAGCCCAATTCATCTTTCAAAGGCTTCTCGGTGGGCCCGCCCCTCCCATCGTTGCCATCAGCATTAACTGGTCCTCCTTCTGTGCTCCTGCCGTCCCTTGCTCATCTCACCGTGCACCCGTTGTCTCTGAGACTAGACCATGAGTCCTACTCAGCTAATATTCCTATGTGCCTAGACTGGCAGCTGCAGAGACCTAGTGGTGTTCAGAAATGTTAACTAAATGCTTGGCTGACTGAATCTCTTGTTATAAACTCAAGGAGAAAAGACTGAATTCAACTCAATGCAAGCACAGACCGAGAGCCTGCCATGTGCAGTGCCCAGTGCCCAGAGCCTGGTGCACAGATCCCTGCTCTCCAGGGGTTCACAGCCTACCTGGGGGAAAAGTCACAGAACTAAATGATGATGATAATTATGATACACATGTATCATAGAATTTATCATACAAATAATGTCGTGCAGTGCCTGGTGTGGGAACAGTGTTCTTTGCCCAGTGATATAGCAGCCTACACTTTAGAGTGGTTTTGAAATGTATTTGATCTCAGAGCACATACATGGGAGCTGCTCTTATGGTCAACTTGTCGGCCTGCAGGGCTGGCCCAAGCCCGATTCTGGAGCCAGATCAGCCCAGATCCTAATGCCACCCCTGGCTTTTATGAGCTGCGGAACTCTGGAGCAAATTGTTTCCATTTATCTGTGCTTCAGATCTCTACCTGTAAAACAAGAGCCGTGACGGTGCCCGCCTCACAGGACTGCACAGCAGATCAAATGGGATAACGAATGATGCCCAGTGAAGGCAGTTAATATTCTTATCCAGTGGTGGTTATGCTGGCCGTCTCCTGTTGGCCCCTTCAGGTCCTCTCTCTACCCTTGTCCTCCTGGCCTCTGTCGGAGCCTGCCGACAATCG